AAGAAAGTGTTTTTTTATCCATCCTTTGCCCTGCTTCCAAAAATAAATATAAAACAGCACTCTTTCCACAGCAAAGGAGTTCTGTGACCCTCCATTGGAGATCCTGAAGTAAGAAGTGGAGGTTTTGTAGAATCTTTTATAACATCTCACTCTCTCATCCAAGTACAAATATAATCTGAACCACATCCAAAGATTTTTGAAAATAGTATTTAAATTGAGTTTCATATGAGTTTGCTTTTATAGTGCTGTGAATGTGAGTTAAATACCTCAGAGATATTCCTAGTCCTCACCTCTCTCATTCCCATTATTTTATAATCTAGTCTCTCTTAAGGAGCTCGGGTGGTATAGTGCTTAGGCATTTGGCTGCTAACCAAAAGATTGGTGGTTTGAACAAGCTAGCCACTCCACAGAAGAAGGATGGGGCAATCTGTTTCCATAAAGATTTATAGCCTTGGAAACCCAGTGGAGGTCACTATGCATCAGAATCAACTCAATGGCAATAAGTTTGGTTTGCTTTGAGTGCCTCTTGGTTAGAGAAGAGAGAGCAAGAAGTTGGATCCCAGCCATAATATCTGACTTTATGGGAGTCAAAATTCTATTTTATTTTAATTCTAGAATTTTAGAACTCGTTTTTCTTTTATTTCTCGCATTTATACTTTTTCCCAAACTCTCATACACATCAGCGGTAAAAGGAATATATATTTGAAAGGAGTATGGTTGTGTATGTGTATACAGTGAAAATATTTCATATGTACACATACATTTACATATATACACACATATTTCATGCTCATTCATGCATACAAATGTATATATTCTAAAATCCTACAAATTACTTCATTCCATTCCTGGTGACCACCACTCGTCTGTCAGTTTGTGATCCTGTGGTGGCTTGTGTGTTGCTGTGAGGCTGGAGGCTATGCCACCAGTATTTCAAACACCGGAAGAGTCACCGATGATGAACAGGTTTTGGTAGAGCTTCTGGACTGAGACAGACTCAGAAGAAGGAAGGGGCTGTCAAGTTCTCAAAAACTTGGCCAGTGAAAATTTTATGAATAACAGTGAAACACCGCTGACATATTATTGGAAAACTTTGGGAATAGTCATGAAACATTGTCCAATATAATGCCAGGAGATGAGCCCCTCAGGTCAAAAGGCATTCAAAATATGACTGGGAAAGAGCTGCCTTCTCAGAGTAGAGCTGACCTTAATGATGGGGATGGAGTAAAGCTTTTGGGACCTCCATTTGCTGATGTGGCATGAGTCAAACTGAGAAGAAACAGCTGCAAACATCCATTAATAATCAGAACATTGAATGTATGAAGTATGAATCTTGGAAAATTAGAAGTTGTCAAAAATGAAATGGATTGCATAAAGATTGATATCGTAGGCATTAATGAGTTGAAATGGATTGGTTTTGGCCATTTTGAATCAGACAACCATATGATCTACTATGCCTGGAATGACAAATTGAAGAGGAATAGAGTGGCATTCATCATCAAAAAGAATGTTTCAAGATCTATCCTGAAGTACAATGGTGTCAGTGATAGGACAGTATCCATATGCCTACAAGGAAGACTAGCTAATACTACTATTATTCAAATTTACTCACCAAGCACCAAGCCAAAGAAGAAGAAATTGAAGATTTTTACCAACTTCTGCAGTCTGAAATTGACCAAACATGCAATCAAGATGTGTTGATTATCACTGATGATTGGAATGAAAAAGTTGGAAACAAAGTAGAATCATTGATAGTTGGAAAATATGGCCTTGGTGATAGAAATAATGCTGGAGGTCACATGATAAAATTTTTCAAGACCAACAACTTATCCATTGCAAATACCTTTTTTCAACAAGATAAATTTGAATAACAGTCATATTAACGGGTCTTCCTTGTAGGTGTATGGATATTATCCTATCACTGACAGCACTGTACTTCAGGACAGATCTTGAAACATCCTTTGTGATGATGAATGCCACACCATTCCTCTTCAAACTGTCATTCCCGGCATAGTAGATCACACGGTTGTCTGATTCAAAATGGCCAAAACCAGTCCATTTCAGCTCACTAATGCTATGGATATCAATCTTTATGTGTTCCATTTCATTTCTGACAACTTCCAATTTTCCTAGATTCTTACTTCATACATTCCATGTTCTGATGAGTGATGCCACATCAGCAAATGGAGGTCTCGAAAGCTTTACCTTATCCATAGGAGTAAGGCTGGGTTTACTCAGATGATGCAGCTCTTTCCCAGTCCTATTTTGAGAGCCTTCTAAGCTAACTGGACTATTCATAAAGTTGTGCGTAATGTATCAAACAGTGTTTCTTTGCTATTCATAAGGTTTTCCCTGGCCAATTATTTGAGAAGTGGATGGCCTCTTCCTTCTTCCTAGTCTGTCTCAGTCTGTAAGCTGGGCTGATACCTGTGCACCATGTGCATCCCTCTGGGTTAGAAACACCAGTGGCTCAGCCTAAAAACTCACATCAACACGTCATCATAGTAGGACAAACCGACAGACAAGTTTGCCTCCCTGTTGGAAACCTCTTGTACCACCCTTACCTGGGTTCCTGTGGCTGAATGGAGAGTAGCTAAACCAAATTGAAGAAATTACAAGATAAAAGAGCTGAACAGAAAATTTTGAAGTCAATTATTATAATGAAATGTACAAAGATCTGCAGCTAGAAAACCAAAAGGGAAGACACATGCAGCATTTCTCAAGCTCAAAGAACTGAAGAAAAAATTCAAGCCTTGAGTTGCAATACTGAAAGATTCTGTGGGCAAAATAATAATGGAAGAAACACCAATAGAAGATGGAAGGAATACACAGAGTCACTGTACCAAAAAGAATTGGTTGATGTTTATCCATTTTAGGAGGTGGCATCTGACCAAGAACCAATGGTATTGAAGGAAGAAGTTGAAGCTGCACTGAAAGCATTGGCAAAGAACAAGGCTCTAGGAATTGAAGGAACACCCATTGACATATTTCAACAAATGGATGCTGTGCTGCAGCATCTCTTGTCTCTGCCAAGAGATCTAGAAGACAGCTACCCTGCCCACTGACTGGAAGAGATTTTTATTTGTATTCATTCCAAACAGATGTGATCCTATGAATATGGAAAGTATCAAACAATATCATTAATATCACACACAAGTAAAATCTTGTGGAAGATAATTCAAAAACAGTTGTAGCAGTATATTGACAGGGAGCTGCCAGAAATGCAAGGTGGATTCAGAAGAGGATGTGGAATGAGAGATATCATTGCTGATGTCAGATGGGTCTTGGCTGAAAGCAAAGAATACCAAAAGGATGTCTACTTGTGTTTTATTGACTATGCAAATATATTCAATTGTGCGGATTATAACAAATTATGGGTAACATTGAGTAGAATGGGAATTCCAGAACACTTAATTGTGCTCATGAAGAACTTGTACATAGACCAGGAGGCTGCTGTTTGAACAGAACAAGGGGATTCTGCATAGTTTAAAAATCAAGAAAGGAGTTGTACCCTTTCACCATACTTATTCAATCTTTATGCTGAGCAAATAATCTGAGAGCTGGACTATGTGAAGAGGAATGTAGCATCAGGATTGGAGGAAGTCTTTAATAGCCTGTGATATGCAGATGACACAAATTTGCTTGGTGAAAGTGAGGATGACTTGAAGCCCTTACAGATAAAGGTTGAAGAATACAGTCTGCAGTATGGATTACATCTCAACATAAAACAAAAATCCTCACAACTGAACCAATAAGCAGCATCACAATAAATGGATAAAAGATTGAAATTGTCAAAGATTTTATGTTACTTGTTTCTATAGTCAACACCAATGTAAGCAGCAGTCAAGACACCAGAAAACGTATTGCACTGGGCAAATGTGCTGCAAAAGACCTCTTTAAAGTGCTGAAGAGGAAAGATAACTCTTTGAAGACTAAGGTGCACTTAATCCAAGCTATGGCATTTTTAATGGCCTCATATGCATGCGAGAGCTGGACATTGAATAAGGAAGACCCAAGAAGAGTTGATGCTTTTGAGTTGTGGTGTTGACGAAAAATACTGAAAGTACCATGGACTGCCAAAAGAACTAACAAATATGTCCTGGAAGAAGTGCAGCCAGAATGCTCCTTGGAAGTGAGAATGGCCAGTCTTCATCTCACCTACTTTGGTCATATTGTCAGAAGAACCATTCCCTGGAGAAAGATATCATGCTTGGTAAGTGGAGGGTCAATGAAAAAGGTGAAGACCATCAACAAGATGGATTGGCACTGTGGCTGCAAGGATGGGTTCAGGTATAGCAAAGCTTGTGAGGCTAGCACAGGACCGGGCAGCGTTTCATTCTGTTGTACATAGGGTCACTAGATTCAGACTGACTTGATGGCACCTAACAACAACAATAACATTTATGAAGAAACTGATAAAAGTAAACCCCACAAAATAGCAAGTATACAAGTTTCACAGTATCTATTTCACGTGTGTTTTGTATCCAAGCTGGAGGGAGTGTCTTCATTTTACTAAGAAGCAAACATGGTCAACTTTTTCCTGATTTACATTTCCTGCAGTACTTAGGGTTACTGCAGAACTGCAGAAGTTCCTGCAGAACTTCAAGTTCTGATTCCCAGTTTATTTAAAAATATGTATTGCTTAAAAAGGAGCTTTCTATAACCTCTTGGGAAGAATTGAAAGATTTTTCCATGCAGGTTGCTTGGAGGAAACCATCACAATCCTTTTATACATTATGAAAGCATTTCATTTCAGAAGTACTTAAAATACAATTACTTCATTTACTTTTCAGGTTACATCAAAGTCGGTTTTCAGCCTACACTCTTCAGAGCAGGTGCTGGTAGTTACACTGGGTCCCCTCACCTAATTCATTTCCCTGCTTTGGAGGACTGTTTGTTTGAGAGCACTCACTCACTATGTGTTCATAAGGAAGACATTATTGCCAAGTTCCAGGAAGCCCTCTGAGAAACTTGTCAGGGCTACAAACTACTGACCTTACCCTAAACCCATCTGCTTGCAGGCCAGCTGACTCAGTGCCTCCTGCCATCCATCGGCACACACGTGGTGTTCTGTGGCAGATCTGTGAACAGTCAGGAATGAAGAGGAGTTCACATTTTTAGAGAGGGTCACTGGGAAGAAAAAAAAACAACAAAAACTCTAATGAAAAACATTTCTTCTTGTGGAACCAAATGATGTCTTTCTATGCCCTTGCTGGACTTGCAATCCTGCATTGTTATTTATTTTAGTTAAGAAACATATGATGGTTTCCTATCCTGTATAAATCACTGTTCTAAGTGTGGTGGAGGATTTGAAGGGAAAAAAAAATAAAAAGAATTAGCAATGGTCTCTGATGTAAAAACAAAAACTCTTAGATTCTAGTGAAAGTGGCTGGCAGTTCTTGACTTTTCTTTATGAGTTAAAAGGTGGATAGAGGCAGGACCCACTTCCATGAATTTACCTAGGAATTTGTATAATTATCGGCTAGTTGTAACTTTGTGTCCCAGAATGATTCAAAGAACTCAGTTGCTAACTAAAAAGGTTAGTGGTTAGAAGACACCCAGTGATGACGGGACGAAAGCCCTGTCCATCAAAATGGAAACTTGTTTGTCTGTTTTTCCCCAGTTGAAAGTCTATTCATATCACTTCCTCTCAAGGAAGCCTGTGAGAATGCAAGTGTGTGAGAGTGATGATATTTTAGGGATGGCTGGTATATAAGCTAACTCTTATTTTACAAAAGAGCATCCTCTGTGCTTAATTAGGCACAGAGCATTTGTGAAACAGTCATTGATCCCAACGCGCACGGAATCATGATCTGACCGGATGATACAGAGCTGAGTGAATGGAGAGAGTGATGAGTGTGGGATGGTGGAATTATTCAAAGTCAAGATTACAAACTGCAACACAGGAATTGCTGGTGGAAGATGCCTTTAAATCCTGTCCCTGTAAAGAAGTAGATGATCGAAGTCCCATTCTTATCTGGAGCAGAAGTATAGGGAAGATGGAGGGACATCTTTGTATCCTATCCCAGGAGAGGTAACTCACTAGAAGTTCCCTGCTGTGGAGTTGATTCTGACTCAGAGCGACCCCTGTTGGGTTTCTGAAACTGTAAATCTTTACAGAAGTGGATTGCCCCATCTTCCTTCTGTGAAACGGTTGGTAGGTTTGAACTGCTGACTTTCTGGTTAGCAGTCAAACGCTTTATCCACTATACCACCAGAGTAGATGATAAAAAATTAAGTGCTGATTCTTACTGAAGCTGGATAGAGTGGAAGGAGTTTTTAAAAAAATACTATTGTAGACCCTGCGTGATGCAAACTGTTAGCAAGCTCAAATGTTAAGTGAGAGGTTACAGGTTCAGTGCTCCCAGAGCCACCTCAGAAGAAAGGCCTGGTGACCTAATTACAAAAAACCAGCCATGGAAAACCCCTTGGAACACAACTCTGCTCCAACACACAGGAGATCACCATGAATCGGAATCTTGACAACAAAATTTTATATTTATTAGCACTTAGGTGAGTTAGAAAACTTTGAATCCATTTTTTAAATATATATTCCAGTTCCCATAAAGTCCATTCCATCTCATGGTGGCCTCGTAATGTGTCAGAGTAGTACTGCTCTCCACGGGGTTTTTAGTAGCTGTGATCTTCCAGCAGGAGCTCCGCAGGTCTTTCTTCCAAGGCACCTCTGGGCAGATTTCAAATAAAGAAATAACTTGGGGGAAGTTTTCTGTGAGTTGGAAATAATATATATAGATCTCTGTCTGATTTTATAATAGTAAAACTAGACGAACATGCTTAGTAAAATCAGTGAAGGAATTTAGGATTAATTTTGCTTAAATGGCTGACAGGGATTAGCATGTGTAAAAGATGGCAGAAAAGAACAGCTTACCACAGTCCCATTCATCTGAACTGTCTGAACAGTCTGGTTTGCCATTGCACCACAGGCCACGTGACACACAGTCGTGATTTGCACATTCAAGTTCATCACGTTGGCAAAATGCTGGCACAGGGGACATAATTTAAGAAGAGAAAGATTTTAGAAATAAATGTGATTGTCAGTAACAGGCATATTATAATTTGTCAGTAGGAGCATAGAAGGAAGAAAATGTGGCCTTGAGAATCTCCAAACAGGTATCAAGGCAGAAAGACAGGATGAATAAAATCTCATTGAACAGATGTCAGTTTATACAGATAACAGCCATTTAAACAGAATTGCTGTCTCCAAGGGATGAGGATCTCTGGTTCTGAAATATGGATCAAGAACTCCTATTCATAGCAACAGAGCTATTAAAGATCAGAGAAACCAAAAAAAAAACAACAACAAAAAAAAACTTGCTCCCATCAAGTTAATTTTGACTAACGGCAATCCCAGGAGTTACAGAGTAGAACTGTTCTGTAGGGATCTTGGCTGGAATTGTCAAAGGGATCTTGGCTGTAATTGTCAAGGAAGCAGATCACCAGGACTTTCTAACACACCACTGCTAGGTGGCTTGTAACCATCAGCCTGTAGGCTAGTAGTTGAGTGCAAACTGTTTGCACTACTCAGGGACCTTAAGATGGGAGAACAGGGTTAAAATCTGAAATAGCACGAGCCAAGCACTTGGAATGAACAGACTGATGTCACCATAGGAAGAAATCAAGCCCTATCTACATAAATGTTTATATTTTACATAAAAGGAAAGAATAACCTCTAGCTACAGACCGTTGCCTCTCAGAGTCATATACTAATTCTCTCTTGTGTTTTTAAAAATAGAGTAAACCTCCCCAATTGCCTAGCCATTCTTTTCTTCCCTTTCTCATTTTTCAAAGGGCACTCTGATGTTGTTGGAGCACTCACACCATCTCAAGCTCCAGGGGAGAGAGCTGGTTAGTTGAAGCTGTACATGGCATTTTTCTGACTACAATTATTTTTCACTTTAGGAGAGAACATGTGATGCGAGATCAGGGCCTCGGCTGATGGTTTAGAGGGCTGTGCTTTGCAAGAGGGTTGCTACCCAATGCTGGTGGAGACTCATGCCCTAGCCTGGGACTGCAGCAGTCAGGAGGAGACATCTTTTTCCAGTTGGTCTTCCCAGAGGTGGTGTTTGTGTGATTCAGCTGTTTGCAGGAGGTGTCATTTCTAATCTATACAAAGACTCCAGGCTGCCAACCAGATCGTGCCCCAAACTGGCCAATCTGAACGAATCCCTTTATGATGCTCCAGAGATGAGAGGAGAGGTTCTAGTCCCTTCCCACCAGATGTGATTGAGGAAGTATGGTGCATCTGGTACTGTTGGCAGACATCTTTTGACCTTGGTGAGAGCCAGGCTGAGGTTAAGAAAAACTAAAAGAATCACATAAAAGGCATTAAATTTCCACATGCAGCCACAACAGTCTACCCTACACTTGACTTTTTAATCTAATAATATAAGACATATGTTATATGTATTATCATAAAAGGTAATAAATGTCTTCACTGTCTAAGCCAGTTAGAGTTGGGTTTTCTGTTACTTATAGATAAAACATCTTAAGAAATAAAATAACTTTATTTTCTGATTTGGAAAGTAATGGTCATTCAGTTAGAAAATTTAGAGAAGACAGAAAAGCACAAAATTTAATAATTCCACTACCCAGAGATTATAATTGTTAACTTATTTTTATGACCTTCTTATCTTTTTCTATATGTAGATAGAAGTACTTTTAAAACTCAGGAAAATAGCACACATAATACTTTATATTTTGCTTTATTGAATGAATAATATAATAAACTCAAGAGAAATTGTTCTCTAACTTAGTTTTTAGTGTTTGCATATTATTTCATTTTATTCCTGTATCACAAATATCCTCTATTTTTAGATATTTCGGTGTTTTTTTTTTTAAATTATCCATGTTATACATAATGCTATAATAATTTCTTGCATATATTTTTAAACACTTTTGATTGGATTTTAGCGTATATTCTTAACATGGGTATTTTGGTCAAAAGGTGAAACATATTAAAAGCTACAACATATGAATCCCGAGCTTGTATACAAAGGGAGAAATAGTTTGTGTTTAAAATTAAAATGTCATGTTGACAACTTGACTTAAGCACTTACAGCAGTTTTTTTCATCCATGTTATCAGGGCAGTCAGGAAACCCATCACAGATCACTGTGTACTTCAAGCATTGTTTATTGGACGGACATTCCCAAAGATCTCTCTCTTTACAGCCTACAGACAGAAGAAAAGGTTATTTACAAGAGATGTGAAGGTGAAAGAATGATTAATTTGATCAAGCAATGTAGAAACATTACAGCATAAAGGCATGATTTCTTTTTTCTTGAAGAGTTTTGACTGATAGAAACTATGTAATGTAGTATTGAAAGTAGAAATACCCAATAATGTGTGTACTGCAACATACATAGTACAGACACTCTAATCCAAGATCAAAAGTGACATACAGGCAGTGGGAAAAAATGAAAAAGCAACTATACATTCATGTGCATCTTTAGCTGTTCCTTTTCCTTTCTGAGTTAATTTGCTAATGCATAATACTTTTCTATAAAAGTACTACTAAAGGCAGTGTTTCGTTCTGTTGTACATAGGGTTGCTGTCAGTCAGGAGCTGACTCGATGGAACCTTACAACAAGAAATCCATTACTTTATAGAAGTCACATATTCAATGCTGGAAATTTTATCAGTTAATGTGACACAGTAACATAATTTTCACAAGCTCGGGGTAGGGCTATAAGTTTATTGCTAGAAAAGAACATCACACTTGGGAAAGCAGAGGACCAGTGAAAATGCAGGAAATCTTCAATGAGATGGAGTAACACAACAGTAGCACAATGAACTCAACCATACCAATGACCCTGAAGATGGCCAGGAGCAGGCAATGTTCTGCTCTGTTACAAAAAGGTCACCATGAGTGGACTTTATGTATTTACTAAGAATAATAAATCTACACTTAAACTATACTTTGCCTATCAAATAGCAAGCAGTTGTGATGAGCTTCATAAATGCCATGTGATTCAAATACAGTGCATCTTACATGTTTGCTAAAATCTACCAATAGCGTGGTGCAGTCTGGACATTTCAGTCAGATCCACAGCCCTCCTCAGGCTGGCAGGTGTGCGAGAGCAGCAGCTAGCACTCAGCAGGCATTCACCACTCACATCTTTGAAATGGAATTTAATTCATGTAAGGGACAAAAAGTCTCATCTCCAGGAAAAGATAATTTGATAATTTAGTTCAATGCGAGTGAAACACAAAGCAGTGCTCAAATAAGGAGTTTCTTTAAAAAAAAAAAAAAAAAAAAAAAAAGTTAACATCTGACTTATTATAAAGAATTCAGAGAAACTTCAAAGACAATTGAGTCAAGTTTCTTGGATCCATCATAAGAAAAACTCTATGCATTTTTTAAAAAATACCTCAATGAAAAGTTACCAAATTAAGTCAACAGATGGAAATTTTGTATTATGATCTAACATGACATTTAAAGTTTTTAAAAGCTTTAGCAGAAAAAAAGTAAAAGTCCTTCACTAGTTGTACATCTGGACTGGTCTTACGTGCAGGGACCCGGGACATCTATTACAAGATCTCAGGGGGATGATCTCAGGGGGATATGATTTGGTCTTCAGCTAGCTGGGGACATAGACATCACCTGGATATATGACAGTGATGTTGTTGTTGTTATTGTTATGTGCCGTCAAGTCAGACCTGACTCATAGTGACCCCTCCTTGGGTTTCTGAGGCAGTATCACTACGGAAGTAGATTGCCCAACCTTCCTTCTGAGGAGTGGCTGGTGGGTTTGAACCATCAACCTGGTTAGCAGTCAAGTGCCTTAGGCACTATGCTACCAGAGCTCCTAATGACAGTGATAGTTCCTCAGATCCCTGGAGATGTGAATGGGGGTTGGAAGTCTGCCCTGAAAAATGTGACAATTAACCATTCACTCTCAAACATCTGCAGCTTCCCTAGAATTTCTGAGGTTCACACAGCTTGTAAGATTTGGAGCTAGGATTTAAATCCAGGTGTCTGACTCTAAAGCTATTTTCACCTCCTCCATGCATACTCTCACTTTACAGAGGTCTTCAACTAAATATTTGTACCTAGATCCTCCTAACTGGAACTTCTCCATAGGTCTGTGATATGGGGCAATTTATTTAACTTCTCTAAATCTCAGTTTCCCCACTTATGAAAATAGTGATCATCATAATGCCAACATTGCAAGGTTGTTACAAAAATTTAAACTAGTACGTGAAATGTGGACATAGGGGTTAAAAATGTTATCTCTACTACTATCATTATTATTAATGAAGATGCAGTTTAGAAGACCTTATGCCCCAAAAAAGTTGGCTTTTATTTTGGTGGTCTTACATCAGCTCATTCCAAAGATCCAAGTTTTTCTCCATACCCTTAGGAGGGTCCCTTGTGAACAATCAGAAGGATTTATACTGTTTTCTTTCCTCCTCTCCTAGTAAGTGGCGTGGTTTGTGGAGAGAAAAGCAGCCTGGAGCTGGGTGGCATCTTGGACTGTTTTGACCCTTTCCCATCTTCCCTGAGGAATGAGCACACTGTGCCGTTTGGCAGAAGCTGGGCCATGGAGAGCAGTAAAGCCCAAATATTTAAATGAATTCAGTGCCACAGTGGACAGAATACATTAGAAAGACATGTAGCTTGGGTAAATCCTCATTGTGCTGGAGCTGGTATTTGCATTACCAGGTGATATGCCTATCCACACGTGGAAAGAGAAACAACTGGGAAACGGATGATGTGCCTTCCTGATTTGGTTTGAAATGTTGTGGCTCCCCAGAGCATGGGACATACCATTCAAAATACTTCCAAAGGGCACTGCATGTAAATTTTCTATTATCTGTTGCTGTAGAAAAAATAATGAGAATTTCCTCATAAATTACTACTGCTGGAGCAATGGATTTAACTCCAAAAGTATTACTATCTTACCCACTTTCAACTTTCTTTACTAGAGCTCTTACTAGTCCCATCAATATTTTGAGTGTTTAATAGGGATTAAACAATATATTGTATCATTCCTGGTGTGCCTTTAATTGTGTGATTAAAATATGGAGGAAAACTCATGTCTTAGTTAGAAACTTAACCTAAACTCATTTAAGTGCTTGAGTTCCTTTTTTGTAGAAGATATTCTAGAACTCAGAGCTTTTATTATTGGTAAACTAAGCTTTGATATTCTCAAATATTTAGTCCCCTACTGCAAATCTAGGTCTAGTTTCTCCAACACAGTATCTTGCAAAGTCTTTGAACCATCTAATACAACTCATTTTAAATTGTATCTCAGAATATCATAGCCCATCAAAATCATAATTTAGTGAACAAATCCAACAGTTTCCCAATAAATCACTTAATATAGGGGATATTCAATGAGTTGTGATTTATATCTTTACACAAGAACCACAAATAAGCAAACAACAGTAGCTTCCAAGGCCCTCAAAAGACTGTCTGTTCCTCCATAACAAAATTACCCCGGTCATCGTGCCATCATTCTAATGATGGTGATTTTCTAGCAGATGCACTTGTCTGTGTTTGTAATAGCTGATAGGATTTCAGTTGATTGCTCTTGACATTTTGTCTAGACCTGAAGAGCATTGTCTACTACAGAAAATTCATTTTGGGGAGCAAGGCAATTTTTTATATCTCAAAGGCCAAAAGTGAAATTATATATATATATATATATATATATATATATATATTACCTTATGTCCTTTCATGACAAAAGTCTACATTTTTTAAACAAAACAAACTAATCATAATTCAACTATTCTTTACATAGCCCTTCAGTCATTTTGCTTTATTCCAGAATATTGTTTAGAAAAGAATATCATTCGTTTTTCTTTCCCTCTACATTCTGAGGTTGCAAGTATGAAGGGAAATAAGTGGGAATTAGCTCCACTTAAATCACATTGGCATTTCTGACCTTTCCATGGTGATTTTGAAGCTCAATGGCAGAAAATGTCAGGAAGAATTTTATCCTTTGCTGACAGATGAAATCAGACAGGGCCTAAAAATGAATCCCAATTAAATGTGAACATTGAAGCCTAAACGCTGCCTTTGAGAATCTAAATGTCTATTTAACACCATGGGAATCATAAGCAAAGATACTGAATATCTCAGTCTGGTTTTGAAACAGATGACAACTACCATAGGATCTCAGGGCTTCTCCTTTAGCTAAGTGTTTCCACAGATATCATCAATAGGAGTATAATTTAGGGGAAATTAATAGAGTTGACAGACAAAAACAGAATTTTATAATTTAAGAAGTAAAAATGTTAGCATTAAATCCTAATGACTAGCAGTGACAGTATACATTGCTTTACATAGTCTCTTTCCCTAACCAGATATGACTGTACATTCAAGGAAAGTGCCATCTCATGTACATACCACAGTTTTCTTCATCACTGTCATCCTCACAGTCAGCTTGGCCATCACATCTTCTGGAAGCCAGAACACACCGTCCAGAGCGGCACTTGAAGTGACTAGGCGAGCACTCTATTACAAACATATGTTGTATCAGCCATATTACTCTCAATGGGCAGAAAACCCAGAAAGGTTACCTAATACATCTGTTTATATGTACAATGTTGTCCAGAAGCTATTACTAAAGACAAGGCTGGTCCTCTGAAAACTTGAAGCAGCCAAAATTAACTTAGCTTTCTTCTGTCTGGTCATCAGTATCTTTCTCCATCTTTGACATCATCTCTCTTGATCAGCTATTTAATATATTTATTCTTCCCAGTAAATTAATTATCTTTCCAAATGGATGACCTAACAATTCCCCAAGACTGAAATATCCCGTGAAGTCAAAAGCATTTCTTTGACCCAGTCGTTCCACCAGGTGGACAGGTCCCATGCCATTTCTCTACTCAGTGGTCCTATGTTGCCAAGGTCCCTGAATACTTTGCACTTAACAGAACCAAGGCTTAATGTTCATTCATTATCTTCAATACCCTAATAAAAAAAGCAGCATCCATGGATAATGGACTCTGTGAGTTAAAGGTGGTTAAATTGGGAACAATCTGGAATATTAGATTAGACTCATCTTTGCAATTTATTTTTAAAGTGAAATTGTCCAACCAATGAGCCCTAAATTCTTCACTGTAATCAGTTCACAGATTCACTCACATATGCAACCTGATTGTCAACTAAATAGGAAAAGTAAAACTTCAAATGGTAGCTGACATGTTCATCCATCTTAGATACCCCATTGTAATTAAAAATTAACCTTCCACATCTTCATCAGGCATTAGGCAGGTTTGATTATCTGAATTTTCCTCTGGAAATTGATTGCAATCTGTGTCTTCCGGCCACTGTAGGCCCACAATCCCAAGAACAGACTCACAGCGTTCTTTGGAGTGCTCACACAGTGCTCTGCAAGAGCCAGACAAAGTGTTAGGAGCAGAAAAGGCCAAATCTGAGAGGCGTGTTTAGTAATGTATGTAGGGTTTTAATTCTGTGTGACTGTAAGTCTATGTGTGTGTGTGTGTGTGTGTGTGTGTAAATACAAATACATAGATAGATGCACATATACATAATAGTCACTTGAGAAACCAAAACAAGTAATATCTCCTTAAAAAGAATACAGTCCAGTATGATCCTTTTACTGTGAGAAACTTCCTTGCAGTGATAGAAAGAGAAGTTTCCAGGACACAATCTCCCTCCTCTGCTTGCCCTTTCTCATTCTTTTCTGTTTTTGAAGCAGACAGGCCTTCTAGCCCATCTGTTACAAACAAGAAAGTCCCCTAAAACACTTTGGATGGTCTGCCACCAGAGTTCATGGAAGCCATACAATACCTTCACCCTGAGAGGTGGGGCCTTCAGGTGGCCAGCCCTTTGAGTGTGCCACCCTGGCTTCTCTAAGACTTTGCTTCCCCTTTCTTAACTTAGACCAACATTGTTGAAAAGGTCAGTACTTCTCCCAGCATCATCTATGCTGAGCTCAAGTTTGGGGTTTATATTTTTTAAAAAGCAAAGATATACTAGGCATTGTGCTTCTTACTTTCATGTGTCATATCTTATTTGCACCCAGAATATTTTAAAATTGAAGTATCAGCATATCTCATGGAATATTTCACTTTCTGTAGGGAAAAAAAGATGGGTTTGCTTCATTATGTAACAACAAAATTACTTAAACCTTTTTTTTTCTTTTTTTTTATGAACTAAAAAGTCATTAGAAATGACCTAAGTTCCCAGGCAAATTTCTTGTTTCCTTTCAAAATTTTATAAATTATTCCCAAAAAAGTTCTAATTTTTGTGATACGATGGGGCAAGTGTTCTAAAAAGTCAGCTCTAGGTCTAGCCAGGGAGCTCCGGTAGTGTAGTGCCTAGGACACTTGATTGCTAACCAGAAGGCTGGCAGTTCAAACCCACCAGCTACTCCTTGGAAGGAAGGTTGGGCAATCTACTTCTGCAGTGATACTGCCTTGGAAATCCAAGGAGGGGTCGCTATGAGTCAGGTCCGACTCGACGGCATTTAACAACAACAACAGGTCTAGCCATAAACTAGGAGGAAAAAAGGTTAAGAATAAAATGGGGGATTTTCCAGGACATCTCTAAATTTAGATCTGGGGTTAAGGGAGAGCATAACTAGATGCTGGATCAGCCTAGGAATTTGGGGTGAGGTGACGAACTCATGGCATTTCCTATCAGATTTGCAAAAAATGGGAAGTTCAGTCATATTAAATAACTATTTGGCTGAATAGTTCTGTTAGAGATTTATAAAACATGTACATAGATCAATTGTTAGTGATATTTTAAATTAATTATATGATACACTACTTGCATGGAAGAATGCATAGTGTATGATTCTACCACTTTCTAATTTTTCTATAAAATGGAAATAACAATATTCAGCACTACACTCCAGGGGGCCCTGTCCTGATCATCATCTGTGTAGTGTTTAAGGATGGTGCGCTCCTCCCTCAAAAGGTTATTGTGACAATGAGAAAGCATAACGACTCTAAAGTATTTAGCACATTTTAAGGGCTCAATGGAGCTGCAGGGTGGTGCAATTAACATGCTTGGTTATTACCTAAAAGATCAGAGGTTCAAGTCCACTGAGAGGCACCTCAGAAGAAAGGCATGAATATCACATGCTGAAAAATCAGCTACTGAAAACCTTTGACACTCACAGAGTTACCATGGGTCAGAGTTGACTCACGGACAATTGGTTGGTTTTAAGGGCTCTCTAATGTTATTTTTAATTTTTTTTCTTGTCCAGATTCATAACTTAACACTAAATTTTAAGATCAATAAATGGGCTCCATATTGTTTCATGACTTGTTAGCATGTTACTCTTCTCATAACATAATTTTTCTTATAAACAAATATTAAATATAAAATTCATAATGATAACTACTTAAAGTTAAAAAGAGAAAAAAGTGTGCATAAATCTGAGAAACAGAAGTAAAGTATCTAAAAGAAGTCCACAAAAATATTGATTGAAAACCATTTCAGGATCAGGATCAGATTTTTCTTTGGTGTTTTAACATGAAAGCTAAGCCCTGAAATTCTAAATTTTGCCAAGATATATAAATTTATCCTAGAGAATACTGCATTAAGAAAAAATATATGTATGTGAGAAAAATGAAATATAAGAGTTGGTAACTACTATTAAAACTAATTGTTCACACTCATTGGCATTGCTTAGCAAAAGTGGAACAAGACTAGAAATAACTTTTTAACATCAAACTGGTAGATTTTTATTATTAATACTCACAAAGGTATTTAACAAAACTGTTCAGAATTATTTTTGCAAAACCCAACATTAAATGTTCTCTCTCTTTGTAGAATTTGTTTGGTTCCCCACATGATTCTGCAATTTTATTGTTTCCTGTCCTGACTCCATAGATGTCCCTACCTTGTCATCAATGTGATATCCAGTGCATAATTTACTGTTTTCCCATCTGTCCACTACCTTGATATTATTGCTTTTTCTTAAAGCTCTAAGTGACTTCTGATCCTAACATATGGGTTGCCTAGTCAAGCACATCAGTACATGCACCACTTGATGAAAAGCAGCACTGAAGTCAGCAGCAACCACCTCTGAGATTCATCTCGCAGACGCTGAGTTCTCTGACAGCAACCCCTAACACATGGCGTACAGAAAGACAAAACTGCCAATAAACATCGTATTCCTGTCCTAGCTTCAAACCCACTGCCATCCAGTCAATTCCGACTCATAGTGACACTATAGGACAGAGTAGAACTGCTATAAATCTTCACAGAAGCAGACCGCCTCATCTTTCTCTCATTGAGTGGCTGGTGGGTTTGAACCACAAACCTTTTGGATCTGGCAAATGCCTTAGCCACTGCACCACCAGAGCTCCTTTCCTATCTTCACAGCTATCATTTGCTCTGTGTTTACAATGGGAAGTCCTTTACATGTACACACATTTGTTTAATCTCACAACCCAATCCAACAACCATTACTATCCATATTTTTTCCATGATAAATATTTATGTAATGAAATATTTGCCATTACAACATGTTTTACAAATATAATTCATTGGCATTAATCATGTTCATCTTATTGTTCCACCAACACCCTGTTTCCAAATTTTTCTACCACTTTTAACAGAAACTCAGTGTCCCCTAAGCAATGAGTCTCTCTCTCCCACCAGCCTCTGGTACCACCAACAAACCCAGGTCTATATATACTTGCCTCTTCCAGATATTTCATATAAGTGAGATCATACAATACTTGTCCTTTTGTGCTTGACTTCACTCCACTTGTTTTCAAGGTTCATCCATGTGGTGGCATGCGTCAGGATTCATTTCTCTTTACAGCTGAATAATATTCCATTGTATGTATATACCACATTCTTTTTATCCCTTCATCTGTTGATGAACATTTAGGCTGTTTCTACCTTTTGGCTATTGTGAATAGTGCTGTGCTGCATTTTACAGATGAAAACTGAGGCTGCGAGAGCCTAGGGAATTTGTCCAATGCTACACTGCAGCTAGAGAAAAGCCAGGACTTGAACTCAGACAGCAGACTCCAGACAATGTTCATAACCACTGAAATATCACTCAGGTCCAAAGCATAAGCCACACTCTTAATATGCTGTACCTTACTTCATTCAAGAGCTCTGATGATGTAGTGGTTAGAGCATTTGCCTGCTAACCCAAAAGGTTAGCAGTTCAAACCCATCAGCTGCTCCACAGTTGAATGTGAATGTGATGAAGCAATTTGCCTCCATAAAGATTTACATCCTTGCAAATCCTATGGGGCAGCTGTACCCTGTCCTAAAGGGTTGTTATAGTCAGAATTGAGTCAATGGCACTGGGTTTGGTTTATTTCATTCAAACATGCAGAAAAATATCTGCAGTGTTCAGACCTTGATAGATTAGTATTACTGGGCTATCTGTGGAGTGTCTATGATTTGTTAGTGTTATCAGAATGTGGAGGAGCCCTGGTGCTGAAGTGGTTAAAGCACTCAGCTGCTAACCAAAAGGTTGGCATTTAGAACTCACCAGCCACTCCATAGGAGAAAGATGTGGCAGTCTGCTTCTGTAAAGCCAAGGACACCCTATGGGGCAATTCTAGTCTGTCTTATAGGGTTTATGAGTCAGAATTGACTCCATGGAAGGGGGTTTTAGGTATCAAAATGTGACATTTTGAACACATTAAAGTTATTAGAGAAATAGACATATACTTTTTCTGCTATTCATATTTTAAATGCTTCTGCCACCAAAATGAAAAACATTTGATTTTACTTGTTAAAGTGCGTGAACTATGTTCAAAAGCAGTTCATATCTCTTTGGTTTGGAATTTGAATAATGAGTTCTTACTCATTTATCTTTTAAACACATCATTTGTTAAAAGTGGAGTTCCTTAGCAGTGTAACTTTGTCTAAACTCAACCAAGTCCTCAAATCCTTGGTTCTCCCTGAAACAAAATGAGAATGTATGGGGGACAGACTATTGTATTACCTGCAAGGGGGGACACGTTGGCTTGTATTCACATCACACTTTGGTACCAAGATGGTACAAGCAAAAAACATGAGGTATTTGTAACAGTTGGTTTGAACAAGTGCCGGGAAGAGAGAGGACTCCCAGCTGATGGATGCTTCCTTCTGAGTCCTGTGGCCAAGGTAATTTGGATAATTTGTATGGTTGTAAGGCAAATTCATGCAGAGCTCCAGCGTAATAGGTTCACATTGACCTGAGCAAGACAACACACACACAGATGCATATGCATTTTAAATTTCACATGTAAAGCAATTTTTTTTTAAACTTACATCATGGAAGCTGATCTTACTCTCTTTCTTTAAAGTAGCCAAGAACAGAATGCAAGTAGTATATACATTTCTCTGGGGATATAAAATAAGTAAATACATTTTAATGACATGCCATGGCAAACCAAGACTCATCTCTGAATGGTATGGAGCTGCTAGGAAGCCGAGATTCAGCTCTGTATGTAGAAGTGTTAGCACAGTGCCCAGATGCTCTGGAAAGTCTTCTCTCATTTCTTCCCATGGCCCAACTTATCTGAAAGTGACTCTTGTTCATGATACCTTTTATTTACTTCAATACGTCTTCTTCTGATTTATTCATTATTTCTAAACTAGTACACCCCCAGCATCTTCACAGTCATTTAAAAGAAAAATCAATGCACTTGGTTCAGTAGGCAATTAGATGACTCCTTTCTACATTTTTTGTTGTTGATTAGTGAGATTAAATTAAGGCTGTAAAATTTCAGGGCAAGAGAAGGCTGAGTGGAAACCCCTTGCCAATGAAATACGATACAAACTCTTTAGTATGGCATTCAAGGCTATTTCACAGTCCAATTACAGCCCATCTTCCCAAACGTCTCCTACAGCTATCTCCTCAGCCGCATTTCTGCTGCACTAAATGCTATTCCTTGGCAACACTACAGATTTGAAGAATTGTGTGCTTTTGGGCATCCTGTCTGCTCACCCTTCTTTTCTTGACATCTTTTCATCCCCTCAGATGTGGTCATGTTTCTTGATGTCAGGTACGTCTGCCACCCATTGCCTGTAATGATCCTTTTCCATTCGTTCCACCAAGCTAACTACTCTTTGACCTGCAAGACTCAGCATAAATTCTCCCCCAAGAAGTTTTCCTGGCTAACCACTCTCCCCACACCCACTCTCAGGATGAGTTATATGTGTCTCTTGTGAAAGTCATAGGATCTTAAGCATATTCCTGTCACATATTCACTGCAGGCTACTTGTATTATTTATTTACTTATTTGTCTCCCCAACACAATTCAGAGATTTTTTTTTGAGAAGTGAGACTTTATATCTCTTTATCTTCAAATCTGCACCTAGCACTATGCTAGAATCAAGGAAGGAAAGAGGGAAGAAAAAGGCGTCAGGTACTATCCTAGGCAATGGAAATGTGAGAATAATGAAAACTATAATCCCTGTCATTGAGGAACTCCACAGTCTTGGGAGGGAGAAAGACGCAAGTGCAGGTAACTACAGTCTAACATGAAGAGGCTACCACCAATCACCAGTTGTCCTTGAGTCAATTCCAGCTCACATGACCCTCTGTGTTGCACAGCTGACCTGCTCCATGGGTTTTCAAGGCTGTGACCTTCCAGAAGCTGATGCCAGACCTTTCTTCTGAGGTGCCTCTGAGTGGGATGAAACTGACATCCTTTCAGTTAAATCACCATTTGCATGACTTAGTGATTCTGTGAAGAGGCTAGATAGTGGAATTGAACAAAATGCTAGGAGCCAAAAGGAATAAGGTGGAACAAGAGAGGTTCAGCAAGTCTCACAAGGATAAATGGAGTCTGGCCAGGTTTAAGGGAATGTGGCAGAGATATTTCTTGTTCCTTCTGTGTTCCCCGCGGTAGACATGTCACATTCCCTGAAGTAAGAGAGGTAATGAAGCAAGTGTCTCAGTAGACTTACCCCAGGCAAGCCAAAGACTTCATGCCTTATTAACAGTAATTATTCAAATTAAATTTAATTAGTTGACTAAGAAGTTGTATACAAATAGATTAGCAATAAACAATATTGGGTGAAATAAGAAACCAGCTCTGAGACTACTTCTTAATTAAAGTATCTGAGGGGTCCTCAAATATGATGCTTAAAAGGAGCCTGAAGCTGACCAGATTAAAGTGCTATACACAGAGTCAAATATGTCTCTCAGTTTCCTGAGGAAGACATACCACTAAAGTTGGCATAATCTTGAGGTTAAAGAGATGGAAGGGCATGGTGTTGGTTCAGTTAATCATTTTCTTTCATTTTTGAAGGAAGAGTAATATTTAAGCATCTTACGTTTTTAAATTACAAAAGAATGCATGTCCCCCACAATAAAATCAATATAAAGATGTATAAAGAAAAAAGTCCATCATCTGCCCACTCCCCTTTCTCTCACCTTTCATGAAAGCCAACAGACAGGCTCGAATCCTTCTCTGCCTTTCATTTGTTCATATTTATACATACAAGTATTTACATACATAGGTAAGAAACCAAATCCATCGCTGTTGAATCGATTCCAACTCATAGTGACCCTATAGGACAGTATAGAACTGTTCCACAGGGCTTCCAAGGCTGTAATCTTCACAGAAGCAGATTGTTGTATCTTTCACCCAAAGAGCAGCTGGTAGGTTCACTTAACCACTGTGCCAACAGCACTCCCTATATACATAGATAGAGAGGAATTTTCATTTGTTTCTTTGCTTTTACCAAAGTAAAACTGTACTGTCCCTATTACTCTTCAACTTCCCTTTGTTGCTCAACTATTTATCAGAGCCACTTGTGAGTCAGTAGATGCAGCTTTAACTCTGTATTTTTTCCTAATGTCCTTAATATACATTTACTTTTACAAAAATATGTAATTTTTGGTGCAATCATTTTTCATTTTATATGCCTGCCTTTCTCACCCTCTACCACTCATCAAGTTTCCCTTTTGAAGCAGTATATTTCATTAAGATGAATAATAGAACACTGCACATGGATAGTGTTTCTCTCTTTGGAACTATGGAGAACATATAATTTTTGATTGGGATAAGATATATAAGATATTACCTCTGTGACTCCAGAACTAAGAGAGATGAAAAGATTAAGGTATGGTCATATATTATTCTGGAGATATTTATTGAGTGGGGTAAGGTCCTTCATAAGGAATTCTTCACAAAGTGCTAAGTAAGATAAATTCTGAAGATACGACCAACCCGAATTCTATGATTCATGATATCAATAAACTTCATCTTAAGCATTAGACTCACTCATTGTCCTGATTTAGGACTGCCACTAGAGGGCAATGTCACCACAAACATGTGAGCATGCTTAGCCACCACAAGGCAAGGAATGCAACCACTGCGACCCATAGCTACCCCTCCTTGGGTTTCTGAGGCAGTATCACTACAGAAATAGATTGCTCAAACTTCCTTCGAATTAGAGGCCACAGGACTGTACAATTCAAGTTTGATGCAGTGCGTAGCAGTGCTTGGACATAACCAAACCAAACCAAACCAAACTCATTGTCGTCCAGTCGTTTCCGACTCATAGCAACCCCTCCCTGGGTTTCCAAGGCAGTATCTCTATGGAAGTAGATTATCCAGTCTTCCTTCTGAGGAGTGGCTGATGGGTTTGAACCGCCAGCCTTCTGGTTAGCAGTCAAATGCCTTAGGTACTATGCCACCAGAGCTAAAACCAAAAACCAAACTCACTGCCATGGAATCTGATCCGACTCACAGCGACCCCTCCATGGGTTTCCAAGGTGATTATCACTGCATGAAGTTTAAAAAATATATGTTTTAAAAAATGATCCTGATAGAGTTTCAGTGATACTTCACCTTTCAAAGTCTGGTATCAAAATTTGTTAAACTCAACCTCAAGAGGGAATATGTGATGTTATCTTCCTCTCATGTTGGCATCCTCTGAAGCCCCTGGAAATCATGTATGAAATGGTGGTAATTTACATGAGAAAAATGTCACTTTTCTACATCTAGTGGCAAATATAATATTCAGATATTTAAATTAAAAAAATATTATTTTTAACAGTTTGACTTATACTACAAATGTGTAATGTATTTATCCTACTTTTACACATTTTTATTTAATATGTATGTTAAAGTATAAGAAAGAAGACTGGGTAGACACTCCTGAGTCCCTCCATGTACTCTGTCCCATCTCAACCTTCTCTTTTCCTCACAAAGTAACCACTGAGTCTCATGGTTAACACTTCCATGCTCCTTTTCGTAGTTTTACTAAATCTCTATACAACCCTATAGATACAATACTTTAAGTTTGCCTACTTTTTAAAATTCGCTTAGTGTTTTAAGTCTTCATAGCTGATAGTCCTCACCATCCCATTATTTTTCCTTATACTTAAAGTACTGAAGGAACGAGGGATTAGACCTGTACAGTTTGTCAGAGCTGGGATGATCTGATGGCACATTCCTGGGGAGTCCACCATGGCCCTCTGTCCTCTTTATTTTCTGAAAACTGGAAACCAAATCCAGAGGATTGATTGATCAGGTCTCCAGCCTTTGACAAGGCTAGAGGTGGCTAGCGTGTTTTTTCATTAGCAGGCACATCGTGTCTTGTTTCCTCCTTTTATGATGTCAGCACCTGTAGTTGCTCAGTTTCTTGACACCTGAATTCACTGTGTGCTACACAAAATGATGATTTTCTAATTCATTCATTTATTAGGTAGCAATGCTTTTTAAAAAAGATAATTCCTCTCACCTCCTGTTTGCTTACCCAGTGGTAGTGTTGATAAAACTTGAAATAAAACCAAACTCACTGCCATCAAGTCGATGCCAACTTATAGTGACTCCCACTGGGTTTCTGAGGCAGTAAATCTTTACAAAAATAAATTGCCCCATCTTCCTTCCACAGAGTGGCTGGTGGCTTCTGGTTAGCAGTCCAATGCCTCAGGCACCGCACCACCAGAGCGCCTTAGTGTTCTTTATAAAGGAAAGGCAAAATAAATGTGTGATTATTTCCCTTTATTACAACTTCTCAAGAAAAATTAATTGGTTTGGCATCATTTTCCAGAAGTAACAAATTGTTATTTATTTTAAAATATCATTGTAAACATGTGGGTTCAAACATAGTTACAATGGTTAAGTGCTGGGCTGCTAATTGAAAGGTTGGAAATTTGAACATACCAGCTGCTTTGTGGGAAAAAAAAAAATGTGGCAGCCTGTTTCTGTAAATCTTACAGCCTTGGAAAACCTATAGGGCAGTTCTACTCCATCCTATAGGCTAACTATGAGTCAGAATCAACTCATAGCAATGGCTTTTTTTATGAGATTGATTTCAATCACTTGCTATTATTTTCTTTTTGAAGTTCAAATTGCCCCTGTCTTTTTAAACCAGTGGGATCCTTTTCAGGTTGGTCTCCGTATCCTTTTGACACGACCATAATAATATTTGATAGTTTCCTGACTACATTATATAAGATGTCCCAGGCTTATTTATGCACTTCTTGCCTCAGGTCTAGAATCAGCCATTTCTTCAAAAAGCCCTTGGTTTCTTTTGATAGGAAATGACATTTCAGGACTGCAGTCTGGGTGCATCAAGGATGCTCATTGCTACTGGATTAGTCATTGTTCTTAGGCCTTTCAATGGGCAAAGCTAGGAAATATATACATGTGTATATGTATGTGAGTGTCTCTATGTGTGTATATGTACACATGTATATACAAAAATCCATATATTCATACACATATATATTTGAGAAGTAATATATTTCTTGAGTTCCTACTAATACTTCCACTTCACATTCAAACCAAAAAACGAAACGCACTGCCGTCAAGTAGGATCTGACTCATAGCAACCCCTCATTGGGGTTCCGAGGCAGTATCACTACGGAAGTAGATTGCTGCTTGAACAATTTCTCTCAGAAAGATCAGCACAAGACCGGTCCCCATGAGTCAGAGGTTAAAGACGTCCCAAATGTCCAAACTACCGTGCCACTCCATCATTTCAGACATTAACTCCTCCTCCTCTTCCCAGTAATTTCCCGTCTTAGAGCTCTGTATTTCACTGTAACGCCTCACAGAACTCACAGACACCCAAGGGTTCGTCTCACGTAGTAGTGGTGGAGGCTGGCAGGCTGGCGAGTCCCAGGTCAGTGAGTAGGTCTGGAGGATCCTCCCAATTCTTGGGGTTTGATGAACCTCGATCAGCAGATCAGATGATGGCTGCTGTCCCAAATCCAGGGGTGAGATGAGGATGAGCCAAGACACAGAACCGGAGCAAGAGGTGGGTGAACCTTCTCAGGAGATTCGTAGGTATACCCTCAAGGAAGCTAAGGGTGGTGATTTGAATTATACCCTCCAGCAAGGCAGGACTCAAGATACATTCCACCTGTGTTGCTCCAACAGAAATAACCCAAGTGGATGGCTTTAACAATCAGCAGCTCAAGGCAAATCCCACCACAGAGCCGATTGCCAGTCATTATAGGGAATGACTACTATCAGCTGCCCAGCCAAGTTGATACCTGACCTTAACTTCCACACCATCCCAAACAAGCATGGATAATAGGATTTACAATACATCACAGAATAGAGGACAATGGCTAAAAGGGCCACATCAAGCAATTCACTGCAATTGCCCAACCTTCCTTCTGAGGAGTGGCTGGTGGGTTTGAACCACCAGCCTTCTGGCTGGCAGTCAAATACCTTAGGCACTAAGCCACCAGAGTTCCTGCTTCATATTCAGGACTACTTAAATGTTTAACCTTTTCTATTACGTCTAGGAGCCCTGGTGGCACAGAGGTTAAGTGCTGGGCCACTACCAAAAAGGTCAGCAGTTCAAACCCATCAACTCTTCCAAAGGAGAAAAATGCAATAACCTGCTTCCATAAAGATTGTTGTTGTTGTTGTTGTTTGGTGCTGTCGAGTCAGACCTAACTCATAGCGACCCCTCCTGGGGTTTCTGAGGTAGTATCACTATGGAAGTAGATTGCCCAACCTTCCTTCTGAGCCGTGGAAACCCTATGGGACAGTTCTACTGTGTTCTATAGGGTTGCTATCAGTTGGACTTGACTCGAGAGCAATGGTTTCTTTGGTTTGTATTACATCTATACCACCTTTCTTCCACACCAATAATCCTTGGCTCTCAAAGACTCAGTGTATGATAGAATTAGAATATTCCATAATTACCCACTTACCTTGTACCACATCACATGTACACAGCAGTCTCAGTGAAATGAGGCTAATACTACCATCAATAATATAACTACTGAGAAGAATTTAAAAAGGTTTTTGCACGTTTCTCCCTATTTCCTTGAATTTTTATACTACACAATGTACTATATCCATATTAGGAATTTACAGCCATTATATTCTCTCCCCCTTACAACTTTCATTTATTCCTAATGCTACAATAAGTATGTTTATAAGTATGTCTATATCTCTCAATTTACTTTGTTAATCTGAAACTTGTTCTCTGATAGATTTCTCCATGTTGGTAATAGTCTGTGCTCTTTACAATTGAAGGTTAGTTTTTATGGATATAAATTCTTGACTGATATGTTATTTTCTAGAGTATCTTCAATATGTTACTCCATTTTTTTTCTACCATGAAGTTGCATGACAATTAATTATAGATAGATAGATAGCCAGACAGACAGACAGGATGTGTGTATGCCCTGGTAGCACAATGGTTAAGTGATTGGCTTCTAATCAAAAGGATGGCAGTTTGAACCCACTCAGCCACTCCGCGGGAGAAGGACCTGGTGATCTCCATCTATAAAGACAACAGCCCAGAAAACTCTATGGGGCAGTTCTACTCTGTCACATGGGGTTGCAATGAGTTGAAATCAACTTGATGGCACCTGACAGCATACATACATATGTACATACATACATACATACACACATACATACATACGCACATACATACACACATACATACATACATACAGTGAAACCTGTGAGAACCAGAACTTGACAAGACAGTCTTGTTTTTCTGAGTTTAGCAAGTTTTCTGCCTTTGACTGGGTGTAGTCTTACCAATTTTCTATCACTCATTTTAGCAGAAAATATTTGAGTTTTCCTTCTCTGACAGGTTTCTGGCTTACACATGTTCCAGCTTCAGCAGATTTTACTGTATATATGTCTAATCAACATTATGAATATTTAATCAGTTTAGAGGTAGCAAAATGGCAGTATGTCTTAATGGCAAGACTATACCCACTTGAACCGTTTTATCATATTGGAAATTTAAAGACAAAAAACAAAAGACTCACAGCCATCGAGTCGATTCCAACTCATAGCAACCCCTTTGGGTTTCTGAGGGGGTAAATCTTTATGGAAGTAGATGGCTGAGTCTTCCTTCCATGGAGTGGCTGGTGGGTTTGAACCACCAACCTTCTGATTAGCAGTCAAATGCCTTAGGCACTACACCACCAGAGCTGGCAGTTGGATATCACGCTTTAGTCCAAATAATTATTAAGTGCTAGGAGCTCTGGTAGCATAGTGGCTAAAGCACTTGACTGCTAACCAGAAGCCTGGCGGTTCAAACCCACCAGCCACTCCTCGGAAGGAAG